TGAAGTTCAGCTCTATCAGTGAGGCGGTTGTCACTCTGCAGGTTCTGGCTCCAGGGGAGATCTCCTAATGTTGACTGATGTCAGTGAAAGCAACACAAGTGACGTCCACACGTCCAGCTCTTCCCCAAGCCCCGCATCTCTCTTTGCTCTCAAAGACATTTCCCCAAGAATGATAAACACGAGCGCGATGTTTGTTTAACAAAGCGAAGCTTTCTGCTGTGATCTGAGCCAAACTCAATATACGAAACAGGCATAAATAGAGACGACATTTATAAGAGACAAGAACACACACACTTAACACATTGTGCGTATTATTCAAACTCAATATCTTGCTGTGCCACCAGACTTCTGCAGAGATCCAAAGTTCAAAGCGGACATTAAAATACTTGAATGCAATTTGAAGGCATTTGGCTTGCATTTTTACAGAAGACGCAAGTGAACTAATCGAAAATGACATTACATTCATTCCGGACTGAAAGTTATGTTACAATCAACGCAACAGTCTCCAATTCTCAGGGATCCCTAACATATTTGTGAGTCTCCCACAAGGGTACGACTTTTATTTCGAGCTCTTAGAGAACATTCTGCGCTGAGTGAGCGTTTGATGTGTACGGCTCAGATTTGGCACGTTGATAGCAGAAGTAATCAGCAGTTCAGCCCTCACTCCACTCCCAAGGAAGTCCTGCAACCGTGGCGTTTTACAGGCTCATTAAAGACAGTGCCGAGACATCGTAAACTCAGCAGGCTTCGCGGTTTCCCAGTCTGTGCTCTGCTTCGTCTATCTCTCTCAATTCTCCACTGAGGAATGATATGCACAATAGGCCAAAGAACAAAAAACTATTAGCCGAGACGCTGGAGGCTTGATAATGTGATGGTGCATTAGAAGAAACAGCACATATTAAAACCAGTCACATGCTGAGAAATTTTACGGTCTTCTTTTAGTATTTACTTTCTAACTTTCATTTTCTAAGTGGCTCTTCTGCAAAGTAATAATTGAGCTACCTTTGCTCAAACAGTTTAAAGTAGGCCTACATTTGGCTCTAAATTTTGTTTTTACAGCGTCCTTGGAAAAGAGCATTGATTGCCGAGTGATTAATGCATAGCTGTTACAAAATTGCAGGTCTTGTTTCAGTTATGAGGCCTGCTGACTATTGGCATTGTGCTGCATTGCCAATAATTAGGCAAGCATAACTATTATTATTGCTCAAACTTAGGGTTAGGGATTTGAACAAACCTCTAACGATAAGTATTAAACTTTTGTGAGTACTTGTCCTGAACAATTTGCGCTACAGACGTGAATCATACCTCAAACCATGCGGCTTATTGAGGAGAGTTGGGATTTAGGCATTTGATTTAAGCATAAAAATAGATATAGTCTTAAGATCATGCTTCCACACTTAGTCCAAACTTTTAACTGGTTTTGTATTGCAAAAAAAATAAAATATAAATAAACAAATTAATTAATTAATTAATAATACATTATAGTTAGTACATTATATGTTGTGTCACTTAATATTTTTGTGAAAACCATGATGCATTTTATTTTCAGGATTCTTAATTTTTTATTTTTATTTTTTATTTTTTTGTAATATTCTAGTAGTCTTTACTGTCACTTTTGATAAATTTTGATGCATCCTTGATGAATAAAAGTACTAATTTCGGTAATATATTTATTTTTTATTTTATATTTATTTTAGCAAGTAGAATACGTGGTGTTATGTTGATGAATTAATTAATAGTTTTGAATGAATCGGTTAATGAATGATTCAAAGAATCACTGATAAATGCAGTCACTTGTAGCCACCACATGGTATAATGATTTAACATGCAGAAACATGTCAATGCAAAATCCCCACCACTAATGCATGCATAATAAAATAGTGCAGTTTTTTTTTTTTTGCTGTTAAATAATGATGTTTTTACAACTTCACATTAACAATTGCTTCTTTTCCTCAGCTCCAATGTGTTTTTTCTTTACCAATCAGAGCATTAAGCCAAAAAGCCCATGAATAGAAGCTGAGAAGGTTCAATTCAGAATTCAGCTTTTTGGCTGAATGCTCTGAAGGTTCTTTTCTAGTCATTTTCTTGTTATTCAGCATCCAGTGAGGCTCCCACTCAAAAGGGTCTGGGGCTTTGCCATATCTCAAGCTGCTCTAAATGGGACGTACAATCGCTAATCCCTTGGCCTTTGAAGAACTCTTTTCCAGGGAGATCTTTGGTCCACGGCTATTACACAAAAAAATAAGCAAAGACTTCAAATGGCTCCTCATGCTTTCCATACACTCCTATACTCCATATACCACCCTCATCCCCTCCCCTCTCTTTCCTGTTAATGGAGTCAGATCCATGGCATGTCTCCCATTGCTTGTGAATGCAGTTATCAGGTAAGGGGTGAGCAGCAGGAACAATCTAAGAGGGCATATCTGTTTAGTTTCAGTGATTTGCCAATAAACTAAACACTCCTCCTCCATAAACATTTTGCCCAATTATACAGCCAGATCAACACATGTACCAGGCCCTCAAAGGATTTTAATTATCTTACAGAATACCTAACATTCAAGTCAGCACATTCAGCCTGTTGCTTGTTAGCATTTTAAAACAATGATATATATATGATATGTATTATATAAGCAGTTTTTATGTATTATTTATATATATATATAAATTTATATTATTTTACAATATATTTGTATTTACAATATATTTATATGTAGACATATGTAAACTCTACATACAATTAGATTAGATTATAGTTATGTTTATATATTATAGTTGTGTAAATATAGTTTATATATTTATAAATGTATATACTTTAGGTTTTTAATATTAAATATTTATATTTAAGCTATGTACATTTTTATTTTACATTTAAGTTGTATACAGTGGAGTTGAAAAGTCTTCTATTTTTCTAACTGAATACTTTTTACTATTACAAATGATCAGCAAAAAAAAAAAAAATTACAGAAATAATGCAGAATTTCAAAATATCTTCATATGATATCGAAACTTTCATAATTTTCTACACTGTTCTGCCTACTGTCTGCTAAAAAAAAGTGGTCTCTGAATTCTGGACTTTACTATGTGTATCTTTGAGAACAAATTTGGTTATCATTTTTATATTTGCATCGAGAGTGAATTAAATGAGCGATTTATTGTGTTTATAGGCCTGTTTGTAAGTATCTCATGCTCCTTGTCATTTACCACCAATTTAATTCATAAAGGCATGAATGCAATGAGAGCAGCAAGTGTTTATAATTTAACAACTCTTATCGCAATCTGACCTCTTCTTAAACAGAGTCAAGGGTCGCGTCTCTTTCCTGTCGAGGTGCAAGCTGTCTCCCTTTGAGCCGTATTGATTGTCAACTTGGGTGGTGCACTGAATACATAAAGACAGACGCAAAACATGCACACACATGGCAAACTTTCACTCTACACCGTGGCACTTCATCTATTCATTAGCTCAATTTCACCAAGCTACGTTCCCTTGAAGTGCCAATCAAAACTTGCATTCTTCACATTTGAATGGAGTAATAAATCACTCTGCAGTCACTTATGCAGATCAAAATGCTTCTCTGGTTTTGTCATCTGGCTCCTGTTTAATTGCCACTTCTGTATTATTGCCGAAATGAGTGTTTCATCTATTTATTCAGATGTGAAAGTTCTTGCAAGCTCACTTTGATGTCTGAAACGGTGCTTAGTCAATGCACTTAGCTGAAGTTGCAAATAGAGTCCTGTTAATGGAAATCACACATGACAGTTCCAAAAGCATTGGAGGTCTTGTAATCAGTCAAATGGCTCAGTCGCTTTTCAACAGGTCGTGTTTTTGGAAACCATGCTTTCCATTCTATTTTGATAAATGTATTTGCATCGCTGAGCTTCTCAAACCAGCTCAGCCAACATCTACATCTGGCCATTTGGCCAGCATCTGCACCCAAACAGTTCACCCATCTGAATATAAATGGGCTGCAGGTCTGAAGTAGGGGTGTAAACATTTGCTCTGACCAGTATTCAGTTTGATTATGATAATTTGTTAAATGATGCAATGCATCATAAAATCTGAAGTTTGGTCATTATTTTAATTGTTTTACTATGCTGAAGACCCACATTCAACTACAGGGACAATTTACTTTTACATTTTTATTTAGACAATTAACTTTTCATTTAACACAATATAAGCTAATAATTGTATTTTGGATAAAAAAAATGAATGCAGAATACATTGCATATTGTTATAGTAATTATAATCGATAATTAAATTCTGATGCACTGAATTTCCTTGTCAGATCACAATGCACCAGTGCAGTTTTTAGGCTGCCTTCAAGTCCTCCTGGTAAGTTCTTAAATTATGAGTTTAAAAGTCATAATTAGTGTTCAAGGTCTGAAAATGTTTAGAATATCGGTCAACGTCATATTTATTTTTCCCTCTTTCTCAAAGACAAAGCATTTTGGATGCTACTGCACCAAAAGATGTGCATTAGGTGAGTAATTCTAGTGTGTACATGGGAGAATGATGGGAAGTGTAGTTTTGTTGCACAAGCCTGTCGCCTCATAAACCAGCTAAATGGGTAGTATTTTCTGACAAGCTTTTCCACTATTTTTCATCATTGGTACACTAAATTGTGTACAAACTAAATCCCACCATCAACATTAACAAATGTTGGGAAGTGTGAACAGAATGATGGGAAGTGAAGTTGCACAAGCCTGTCACATCTTAAAACGGCTAGTATTTGCTGGAAAGCGTTTCCACTATTTTTCATCATCAGTATGCTTAAATTGCATAAAATTGCACCATCAACATTAACAGTTTAAACGTAATAACAATAAATACCAATTGCTTCTGCCACAATTTTTTTAAACTAGCATTCCTCACTTGGAAAGTTGAAAATTCCCGACATGACTTGGAGCCAGCATTACACCTCTACTTAAATACTGCCAGGTTTGAGGAAGTGAAAGACGTAATGATGGCAGTCACCTGTGTCTCGTTATGAGATCATTCTCACCTTCTGCAGCCACTGCGTGTTGTTTTCCATGGCCGACTCCAGATGCTGCAGCTTCTGATTGGACCACTCGGCATCGGCCGGTGGGGAGTCCCGCTGAACCACGTTGGTCCCGCTCATCTGGTCCGCTCCACCCTGACAGCTCTCCATCTCCGGCAGGATGAAGGTGTAGCTGCACTGGCCGTGCTGCACGCGGTGAAGCTTCCTCCGCCTCTCGCCTCCCCCGCGTCTCCCTTGACCGTTCCCGTTTCCGGAACTCACCAGGCCAACGGACGCCAGCAGCAGTGCCAATTGCCAACCGCTTCTGGCAAACCTCATGGCAGCGGGAGCAAAAGCAAAGGCCACCTGCGATCAAGCCAAGGTGCCAACTCAGTAGTTCAAACTCTTTTGATGGAGGAACACATGGCTGGAAGGAGATGAAGAGGCTTTTTGGACTCTTTTCTTTTTACAGTTGGATTGCAGGACCTCTGATGCTGGAGAAGTTCCTGGTTTTCACGAGGCTCCCCTGAAGAAATGGGCACAGGCACTAAGGCACTGAGCCTTGAGTAACCACAACACACTCTCACAGACAGATAAGAAGGCTAAGAAAGAATTCAAGGAGAAGCGGAGACAGCTCTTCTAAATGAGTCTCCCAAGCAGTAGGCTCTTAATATGAGAGAAAAGTAAACAAAAGAGGAGAACTTTCCTTCCTATCCCAGAGCGGTGTGTGAAATGACCGGAGTGAGAGAGTTCTGCCCTCTTATCTGGAAGCGAGGGAGTGTGTGGAGGAGCGGGGGGAGGCTGAGGGAGGTCTATTAACACACGTTCTGTCTCTCGTCTCCTCTGCAGCATTTCCTCACCCCCGAAGCCTGGAGGATAGAGAGTTTCTTCTCCCCGTCCAAGGCTGTTCTGAAATTGATTATGGGTCAGATTTTGCACATTAATGAAAAATTATCCACATAATTCTCTCTTAGGAAATAAAAGGGTTGTGCACCACTGAGAAATGGACTGAGAATGCCTTTTAAATTCTAATTCCATTTCAGAATTTGATTTGAAGTAAAAAATTAAAGAAATTAATTTACAGTAACTGTCATTTTAACAAGATACGCACAGATTGTATGGACAAAAACTTAGAACGATAGATAGAACGATAGAACGACAGATATATAGATAGAACGATAGAACGATAGATAGATAGATAGATAGATAGATAGATAGATAGATAGATTGATAGATAGATAGATAGATAGAACAACCGAA